GTCTAGTAATATTTCTTAATACAGATCTCAGAGACTAGCATCACAGCCAAAGGAGGTTAGTAAATATCAGCTGAATCTTCACACATGTATACCGACAGAAGCAATTTCATTAAAATGACTTTATTTACTCCCATCACGGTACTGGTACTTAGTACTACCGTAAAATGTACTTACATTCAAAGAAATACTGTAATTTATTCTCTCTCTCTACAGAACGCATCTTCATCGTCCTCACTGTCATCGTCATCGAACGTCATGAAGCCGTCGTCATCGGCCGACACTCACGTCGAAACGCCGTCTTCCTCGTCGTCAGGCTTCACTGAGGACATTGCTAACGGATTCAGGTTACTCATTGTTATCACCACCATCGTCATCATCATCGTTGTCGTCGTCATCGTCGTCATGGATACCATGTCGTGGATTTAGGTTACACAGGTATTGTAGTCGTTATTATCATCGTCGCTATCACGTCATCATCGTCACACACCACAACGTCATAATCACAACTTCCACTCTTTAGACCTTTGACCTTTAATCTTTCATCACTTAGAACGTGCCTCAGGTACTTCCTGCCGCCTCAGTGGATCATGGACAAGGAATCCGTTTCCGGACTGACCCTTCAGGATCTCGCCACATTCCCACTCGATGATTTCTTCGATCACTATGAGAGAGGACTTAAGAGAGTTAGTAGTAATGATGATGATTATGGTGATGATGATGATAGTGTTGATAATGATAGCTATAGTGTTGATAATGATAGCTGTGATTATGATAATAACAAAACAATAAAGAAGACAACAACAACAGCAACAACCATAACAACGGTGATCGCATTACAACAATCACATGACTTTACGCTAACAACAACAACAACATTAACAACTACCTCGAAAACACCAACGATAACAGTTAGTAAGCAGTTTCCAGACAGAAGCCAACATGAAAACCATGGAATGTGAGAAGACCAAGGGGAAACTCTACTCCCTCAGAAAACTCATCGCCAAGTTACTCAAATCCATTAATGAGGTGGGATGACGATGATGATGATGGTCTCGATGATAATAATGATGATGTTGTTGGTGATGATACTAATGTTGACGATGGTGGTGATGCAACCATGATTATACTGACGATGATGGTGATGGTGGTTACTATGATGGTTTCGACGAATGCAGCCTTCTTATTTGATGATATTGCTTCAAGTTTGCATAAGTTCCCAGGGAAATAATGATTCATCTCTCAAACATATGTGATGCACATCATACATTTTTATTTGTACATGATATTCTTCCAGGATTTTGACATTGATCCGGAGAAAAATCCGGAAAGCGAGCAAGTGGATGAGTTGTTGGAGCTGTGTGTGAAGCAAGCCATGCAGCCAGCCACCGATGACGATAACGAAAGCGCTGCTGCTGATGCTGCTAACAGCGATAGTCACTTTTCAGTTCAGGCCATGCAGTGAATTGAGTGATTGATTGATTGACTGGTTAATTTGTTCATTGATTGATTGACTGATTGATTGATTGATTGATTGAGAGAGTGAGTAATTGGTTGACTTAACAATCAATCAATTGATTAATTATTTAATTTAATTAATAAGCTAATTTTTACTCGAATTATTGACTGTTGAAGTTGTATTAGTAGCAAATGATCGTAAGGACCTTATCGGACATTTGTTTTTTTATAGAAATGATCAATAAAATCAATCAACTGATTGACTGATTGATCGTTTTGTTACTTGACTGTTGAATTCTTTTGAAGTTTATACGTTCAGCATATGGATACTTATAGGATAAAGATGTGTGTGTGTGTGTGTGTTGCGTGTGTGCGTGTGTGTGAATGTATGAACTAAATTTCTTCATAACAGATGTTAGAAGTTGTTTAATTAACTAACTTGTACTTATTGTTCTTCATTATTTCGTTTTATTAATCTTTTTATAAGATTAAATAAAATGTTAATTGGTTTATTATTATTCGTATATGTATGTGTCTGTATTTTTTAATTTCAGATCGCCCATTCATTCCCTCTGTTAATCTTTCTTTTTATCTTGTGTTCATTCATTCATTCATTCATTCATTCATTCATTCATTATTCATTCTTTCATTCATTATTCATTTTGTTTTATTTGTTCATTCGCTTACTCATTCGTCATTCATTCATTGATAGGTTTGACTATATATTGGTTGTTTGGTACTGTAAATTCAAAATTTATTAGCATTTATAATGTGTGAGACATTGTACAAATTTTATGTTCTATTACGTTCTGTTGCGTTATGTTAGCATTGCCAAAATGCATTATTATTATTACTATTATTATTATTATTATTATTATTATTATTGTTATTATTTATATTAATAAAAATTCAAGATATGCCTAATAAGTTTCTGTCAATTATAACGATGATTTTTAATAAGTTAATAACAGTAAGAAGACATTAACTACTAATTATTATTATTATTACTATAATTATACTATTATTATATTATATATAATTATTG